CTGAGAGTTAACTTGAATCTGGAGGGGATCTGGGACAGAAGTTCAAGAAACTAATTTAACCTAAATTAGTTAAGTCCATTATTACATTCATCCAGGTTTATTTTAAACTGGTTTTGACCATTTTGGAAGTGGCTTATGTGCACTGAATTTCTGTTGTGTTACAGATTTGAAAAACTTCCAATCACTCATACCAGTTTATGCGTTATTTACAGAAGTAATACCATCTCCTTTCTCCTTTGTGAACCCCTCTATTTACCTATCTGTGCACTGCATGCAACCTCTTGGCTACAGCATGGCACTTGGATCTCATATTCAGCTGGGTTTCGATCACCATCCTTTAGTTATTTTCAGTGTTAAAGAATTCCAGGTACAGGGCCAAGCTTGTAAATGTGATCTGTATTTTTCACCTCAGATGTATGACCGTGTCCTGAATTATATTAAAGCACATATTTTGTTTTAATGTGTGTCATCCTTACCAAGTGATCTGCATCTGTCTCTGTAACTCCTTGTCCCCATCGTTTATGACTTAACCTGTTTTTTGCCATCTATAAACTTTACAGGGAACGCTTTCCTATTTTCTTTTACATCAGGGACAAAGAAATTGAACAATATATTTGTTCAAGGACCTATTTCTCAAAGACCCTACTGCTGGGAAGATGTTTTCTCATTTACAATTACTTTTCATGCTCTGTCAATTAACCAGTCTTAAAGGAATTTTATTCATAATACTGATTCTATATAGGGTTTTTTTTAAACAAGTTTCACTTGGGACAAATGTTACATGGGACTTATAGACATCTAAGTGTACTAGATCAACGCATTCACCTTTATCATTTGAGCTTGCTCAACACTATTTGTGAGTCACCAGTAAGGAGTTTTTGTTTTGTTTTATTTTAATGTCATGTGATTGAAGCTCTGGCTTCAGGAGGCCACACAATCTATTCATTCATATCCCATTTGTCTACAGGATGTAACCTTTCATCAGTTGGTCACAGCAGTGACTGTAAAAGTAATATACTCAATGATAGGGCCTCACAAAACTAGTACAAATATTAAGCAATTCAATATCTTTCTGTGCTTGCCAAAAGGTTAATTTAAATAAAATCAGCAGCAATTTCTTTTCCTTCAAAATTTCCATTGTTACTCCCCCAGGTGCCAAGGTGTTGAAAATTCATTTGTTAAATGCATAATCTGATAGACTCGTGAGGACCTTTTCAAAAGCACCAACCTGTTGAACCAAGTAAAATTGTCACAACAACTTTTCCAGCGGTGGTTATAATTTTGCCAATTAACTCTTTCAGTTTAGACGCCAATGAGGCAATTCTACGCAGTAGTTTTAATTTTGTGGTTTCTTCAAATTCTTCCCCATCACAGCCTTCAACATCCAAATCTTCATATATCATTGCATCATCTGGCTCTAACTTTTCCCTTCCAGCCTATGGAAAAGAGACCAATGTGATAAGAAACAATGTACCTCTATCATATAAGTTCTTTGCCAATATCATTTTATAGCATTACAATCATAAAATAATTAAAAGAAAGAGTTATGACAGTCATAATGAAAGCTCCCACCTTTTTTCTTAGAGAAAAGATATTAAAAAATATTTGTGTGTGATTTTATTTCCCTGACGTCTGTAGGTTTCTCTGGCAGGCAGGCAATATTTCCAGCTGCATTTATCTCTACACAAGCAGTAGAAGCCTCCATAACATTTTCAGGTTCTGACCAAGGAAACCACTCATTTAAAAATTGGGTAGCTTTGCACTAGACCAATCAGATCAAATTATTTGGGTCAACTTCACCAAAACAGTCTCCCAACATGCCAATGGCAGCCAACTGTGACAATCCACATTTCCATTTCCATTTCGAAACACCTGAACTGCTGCCCTCCATTGTTATGCCTATTAAAGTACAGTGTTACTTCCATTATCTACATATATTACTTTCTTATGCCTTTTCACAATGCTAAAATTATACATCCTTCCAATTGCAAAGGGCTTCAAAGAGAAAGCCTGGAGTAAAATGTATCTGTTTTGGGTGTGTAAACACAAAATAAAAACAGCTGTGGTTAGGACAGCAGCTCAGTGATGGTAGATGAAAAGACAGATATACAGGGAAGGTTAAGGAAAGAGAGACAGGGCCTTGGAGGATAAATGGAAAGGAGAGAATACGAGAAATACAGAGGGGGAAAGAATAAAATAATATAAGATCAAGGGCAGAGGGAAAGGCAAGTTTGGAATAGTTAAGTGGCAATTAAACAATGAAAATGAGGGAAATTCAGTTAAAGAATGAAGAACAGGGAAGGAAGAAAACAAAACGGACACATGATAGGTAAAGATTTCTGTGGGTGATATCTTTTATTGAGCCAACTGCATGGAGGGATAGACTATGTGACAGGTAAACAATTTATTAGCAATTCAGAGAGAAAGAAAAGTGTGTATCTTTGGAGGGGGAGCAGAATATGAGTGTGATATTATAGGAACTTTTCAGAAGAATATGAATAGGAAGAATAGAAATCTCATGTTTATCTGCAGCAGCTGGCACTAACAAATTAAATGCTCTTGCTTGGGAAGATTACACTGGAAACTGTTGAACTGTTATCCCTCTGAGTATATAACCACAAAATTCTTCATTGTAATTTTCTTACATAGATTCCCTAAGGAAATGAAATTCTCTCCAGGTTCCGCATTAACATTGCACAGAAAAAGTCTGTTCTATCCAGAGAGTATATACAATGAAATATATATTAAATGTAATAGTGATGATCTGGGAAATCCTCCCTTCTTTTCAGACATATCCGGCTGTTTTACTAACCATGTCCATTACAAATTGAGTCCATTGGCATCATAACTAGTATATTTCCACTTTGTCATCACTACAGTGTACTCACATGACTTTCAACAAACATGTTTAATAGCTCTAGAAAGCAAGGCAACAACTGAGTTGCTGTGGTGCACATATTTTGTAGGCACCACAAAATTTTTAAGGTGTTCAGCACTGAGATGAATGCTATCATTTGCTGCCTTGCTAGATCTCATATTTAGAGAGCCCTCTAGTTGATGGTACTTTATTTAAATAATTAACCACAAAACAACAACATGCACTTTGGCTAAATGATGCCTAATATTCTTATTATCACCACCACTATGTCATTATATTGATGGAAAAGCCACTGGAAAGAGTGAACAACAATGTGTCGCAAGTATTAGAAACTGTACCAAGTACAGGCATACCTCGGAGATATTGCGGGTTCGGTTC